AAAACGCGCGATGCGCGCCGAATTTGGATGCAAGTTAAGACATCTTGAGCTAAGCACCAAGATGCGATGCAACAAGCGAGAAGGTGACTCATGGCACGATTACCTTGAGTACCTGAACTTCATTAGAACCCCTAATGGAAGGCGATCAAACTAAGATGGTCATGGAAGTATTCGGAAATCACTCTTGTCCTGAGCTCGCCGCTACGTATTTGTCATCGGTACCGGACGACGCGGCAGATTATGTCGTGGAAAACAGACCGAATGAAGCGACTGCTATACAAACTAAGGGGTGATGGTCGGCGCTACGGCAGCAAGCGTGACGATCGCAAAAACCACCCGAACGTGAACCACAGCGGACATTTATATGCAGGACGCGGCCAAAGTCGGAGCAATCGGAGCAATGAAGAGCGACACTGGCACAACCATCGAACCCACGACGGCGGGCCTGATAGGAGACCGCAACAATCGAGCAGTGGCCAAGCTTTCGCGTCTATTGGAAACCGAGACAAGATACGCTGCCATGTCTGTAATGAACTTGGACACAAAATCTTCACATGTCCGCTGGTGAAACGAGCGAAAGAGTTAGCGACCATCGGCAGTGCAAACGTTACCGCCGCGGAGGAGGATGACGACGGGGCATCAAACAACTCTGATGAGGAAGCACATGTGTGGGTCGCAGCCTGTGACTCTGAGACGCGTACTGGTGCACCAACTAGCGTTTGGACAGTCGACTCTGCGGCAACGCACCACCTGTGTAACGATCGCAGCCAGCTTTTTGCGATCGCGCCTGCCACTCTATCTGTTCGAGTTGCGAACGGAAACATTGAAGTCGCCACTGAAAAGGGGAGTGCAGCGATCGCCATGACGGCAGGCGGAAAGAAGCATACCGTCCTTCTGAAGAACGTGTACTACTCAAAAGGAATTGAACACAACCTGATCTCCGTCGCTCAACTCACACAGCGAGACTACACGTGCAATTTCAGCAAACGGCAATGTCGAATCAAGAGCGACACTGGCAAACTAATCGCTGAAGTTGGGAAATCACCAGTGAATGGGCTGTGGTCGGTTGGTATCGAAGAAGGAATAGCATCGTTCGCTGCCATGAAAACATCTACACTTCGACAATGGCATGAACGGCTTGGTCATGTAAATTATCAAGACCTTGTCCGTATGATCGACAAGAAACTTGCTAAGGGCATCGTAGCAACAAACAGGAAGGTCGATTTCTGTATGAACTGCGCAGAAGCGAAACAAGCTCGGCGGGCGAAGAACCAACAAGACACTTCCACCTCTGCTCCAACCGACGAACCTGGTGCCACGTTGTCTGTGGACTTGAAAGTCGATATGACACCTGACCGGCTTGGTCACAAGCATATCTTGACAATCGTTGACCACGCAACAAACTACAACCGAGTCTACTTGCTTCACAAGAAAAGTGAAGCAGAACGCCACCTCGAAGACTTCATTAGCGAGTTCGAACGCCAGTACGAGACCACAGTGAAGGTCATCCGTTCTGATGGAGGTGGTGAATTCCTGAGTGACCGTCTCGATCGTTTTCTTTTGAACCGTGGCATTCGCCACCAGACGACAGAGTCTGGTATGTCTTCGTCTAACGGTAAAGCTGAACAATTTCACAGAACAGTAATGGACTCCGGACGAGCAATGCTATGGGCTTCTGCACTTCCACAGAGGTTCTGGGGTGATGCTGTGCTATACGCCAGCTACATTCGCAACTACCTACCGACGCGAGCAAACGCAGACCATGCGTCGCCCATCGAAGCGCTGTCTGGCAAAGTACCGACCGTCTCGCATATACTAAGATTTGGAACCAAGTGCACGAAACATGTTGCTCACTCTGCAAAGAAGTCCGCGAAGAAGCGTGCTGAGAAAGCCATCGTGATCGGCATCGACTCCCAAAAGAAAGCATACAAAGTCTACATCCCGCGAACCCAGCGTATTGTGTCCACCACCAACATTCAAAACATTGATCGCCTGGATGCGCGAGCTGTGGGGCGGTACATGGACGCTGTCGATGCGGAGCAAAATGAAGTCGCCACTGAACTTGAAAACGAAGAACCAACTGGAAGTAGCAACGACGATGAACACCAAGATGGCACCCCAGCAGACGTCCACCAGCTCAGTGCTCGTGCAATTCAGCGGGTTTTTGGACTGAACCGAGGCGCACGACCACTGCCGAACGACGAGTTTAGCTTACCTAAGTCGTTCCTCAACGAATTTTCAACCCCAGTGACAGCACTGCTGACAGTTTCTTTGCAAGAAGGAGTCGCATTTTCCACCATACTCGAAAGTGACAAAATCAAAGAGCCGACAACAGTGAAAGAGGCTATGAACAGCCAACACTGGCATGAATGGGAGAAAGCGATGCAGGAGGAGCTTCGAGCGATTGCTGCCAATGCAACCTGGGAGATTGTCGACACCCCTCGAGATGGAAGCTTGATTACCGCAAAGTGGGTGTTCAAGCTGAAGTTTGACAACATGGGCGAGCTGGAGCGCTTTAAAGCTAGACTTGTGGCACGTGGCTTCAACCAAAAGTATGGTGTTGACTTCGCCGAAACGTTTGCTCCAGTCCTGAAAATTGCTAGCCTACGGTTGATCGTAGCTGTAGCAGCGCTGTGGCACGCGACTATCAGACAAGGGGACGTTCCGAACGCCTACCTTCGTGCCACACTGGATCGATTGATATACATGCGACCACCAGAAGGCCTAACGCTTCCTAAAGGCAAGTCCGTACTGCTGCTAAAGAGTCTTTACGGCTTAAAACAGAGCGGCAACTTTGGAACGACGAGATACACAATCACCTGCAGGAGTTGGGATATCAGCGGAGCAAGCTCGACCCATGCCTGTACTTCCAGAGGATTGACGGCAAACTGACAGTGCTGGGCCTATACGTTGACGACGTCGTTGTTGTTAGTCAACGCGACAGTGATGCAGTCTGGACAATGCGGAAGCTTAACGACCAATTCCAAATCAAAGACCTGGGTGAAGCCAAGAAATGTCTTGGCATTTACATCGAACAAACCGATGCCGGCATATACCTCCACCAAAGCTCAAATATCAACAACTTATTAGCAAAACTTGGCATGGAGAACTGTCGCCCCGTAGCAACACCAATGGAATCGACTCGAAGCTTGTATGATGCAGACAGCAAACCCTTTTTTGACACCGGAATCATGCGGGAGACAATTGGATCGCTACTTTGGTTAAGCACATGCACCCGTCCAGACATTACCATGACCGTGAACTATCTAGCACGCTTTGTTACGTCGCCAACCTCCACCCAATGGACAGCTGTAAAGCGCGTACTTCGATATCTTCGAGGGTCTCGAGACTTAAGACTCGCCTTCCTTCGACCGCAATCTCCGCAACGGGGCCTAGCTGTTGCCATATTCAGCGACGCAGACTGGGCAGGGGATAAGGAGGCTAAGTCCACCTCAGGAGGCCTGCTGACAATCAATGACATGCCAATCTCCTGGTATAGCAAGAAGCAATCCACCGTAGCACTCTCGACGGCCGAAGCCGATTATATCGCTGGAGCAACTGCAGTACAGGACTGTTTATGGGTACGGCAATTACTCGACGAGGTCGGCCTGCGAACAAAGACTGATAACGTCATACTGCACATTGACAATCAGAGTGCCATCAAGAACATGGAAAACGAAGTGACTACATCCCGCATGAAACACATCAACATCAAGTTTCACTTCATACGCGATGCAATCCGCAAGAAAGATGCTGTAGTGACTTACTGCTCCACGACTGAAATGAGGGCTGACATTCTAACCAAACCACTCGGTGCAACATTACACGGACGCAACACAGGTATGCTTAAGTTGGTCAAGCTA